TTTTCACTCCTATGTGTTCTTTGCAGAACAATTCAAAAATACCTATGAGCACTGCGATGTTCCTGCACTTTCTAGTCTTTTCCCTAGACCTCAAGAATGCCCATGCCCACCAATCCTGAAACAGGATGTTCTTGTTTGCAACCCAAGAGACCTCAGCAATGTTTCCTGCCCCACTGCAGCTGGTAACACCAGAGGTGTAGGGACAGCTGGTGTCATCATCAGTATGGCATTGGGCACAGAATCCATGGTGTTGACAGTCTGTCTTTATTCTAGAAGGAGCTATCAAATCCATCCACTGCACAGACATGTTGAGGAGTACGTATAAAACACAAGGCATGGTACTGTAGGGTAGAGTACCAAGGAGCCTTGGCCTTATAAACGAGCTGAGAATTACTATTTACTAGGATAAGAGTATATTAAAAACAAAATAAACTATAGCTTTTCTTTGTTTCTTTTCCTTTTTGTTGACAGGGTATTGCTGTCTGGACCAGGCCGGCCCGGAACATCTAGGCTCAGGTGTTCCTCCTGCTTCTTCAGTCTCTGGAACTACAGGCTTTCTTTAATCAAGTGGAGCTGTGTTTGGCAGGAAGAATCCCTTTGTCTTTTCTGACATGTCACAGTGACTGGGAGAAAGGGCAGTCTCTGCGGTGAGCGCACACCCAAGGTGCTGGCCACAGAGGCGTAAAATGGCCTTTCCCATAGCTGGCTCCACTGTGGACATCCTTCTTGCCAGGTCTCCAACCATGACAGAGACTTCATCTTGTGCCTAACATTTGACCTGTAACCTGGCCCAGGCTGAGCACACACCATGGAATGGTAGGCTTGGAACTCTAGAGCTGGAGGAATTATTTTTATTTAATTATGTTTCATTTTTATATCTGTCCATCTGCCTGTCTATCTACCTACCTATCTATCTATCTATCTATCTATCTATCTATCTATCTATCTTCTATCATCTACCTACCTATTTATGTATTTATCTATCATCAATCTATCATCTACCTATTTACCTATCATCTATCATCTATCTATTACTATCTACCTATCACCTACCTATGTATCTATGTATCTATCTATGATCTACCTACCTACCTATCATGTATCATGTATGATATATGTGTATGTATGTGAACAGACCACAGCAGAGAACAACTTGTAGGAGTCAACTCTCTCCTTCTATCATGTGGGTTCTGAGGATCAAACTCAGGTCACCAGGCTTGACAACAAGGTCTTTACTTGCTGAGACGTCTCACCAATCACGGAGGGATTTTTTTAAAGATTATTCTGGCAACAGGAGGTTTCGTCTTCCCTTTGACCTTAGCTAAGATCTATAGTCCTCCAGTGCTGTCTTATGTCCCTGCCAGTGTCTTCTGCTCCGTAGTCTTGCTTTCTCTGTGCCCCGGTCCCTACAGCAGGACCTCTGCCGCCAGCTGTCGGAATGGGAATACGGAGCCAGCCCTGCCCAAGGCCCCGGGCCCTGCCACAGTCAGGCCACATTGCTTGTCTGTAGACAGTTTGGTTGTGACTTTTGGATCTCGGTGATACAAAGAAGGGCCCTGGGACCACCAGTTAGTTTATAAAATGCAGATGTGATCACGCCACATGCTTGCTTATAACCTTTCCAGGTTCTTAATTATCTTTATATTGAAATCCTGGCACTTGGTATTAAACACTCCACTGCCCACTGCAGCCTCACGTTCCCGGGGCATCCTTGCCCGCCACCCCTGAAGCCTCACGTTCGGGGTCATCCTTGCTCTTCTGAGTTCCAGCTGCTCTCACTATGCGATGCTGCTTCACTTCAGGCCCCAGAGCAATGGGCCAAGAGATCAGAACTAAGTCAAAACAATTTTCCCTCTTTTTATTTTATTGACAGGCATTTACTATGTGGACCCAAAGTCAGAATCCTGCTTCTGCTTTAGTGGTACTGGGATTACAGACTGTTTCACCAAATGTTGTTCCTTCCTTCTTTGAAACTTGTCTCCAGTATTTTCTTACAGTAAAATAACTTTAACATACCTACCTACGTCAGTCATGAGTAACACGCTCTTCCAATTTTCTTTTTTTCTGAGATGCTTTGTAGCCTTGACTGGCCTGGAATTCACTACATAGACCAGGCTGACCTCAAACTCTCTGAGATCAGCCTGCATCTGTCTCGCAAGCCTTGGGCTCAAAGGTGTGACCACCACACCCAGCCTCTTTCAGCACCTCTGTGTCTTCACATGTCGCTCAAATGGCAGAGTCACAAAATACACGGAGAGGATTGTCTTAAATAACAGCGTATCGGGGCGGTTGGTTGCGGCATGTTTATCGACGCCCTGGACCAAGTGCATTCTCCTGGAGTGTGATTCTTAGTGTTAAACCTGTGACAGGGATGGTCAACTGGGATGGTTGTTCATGTTCTCTTTCAGTGCATGCTGACTTTGTGAGTTCTGCTTCTCTGTCTGTCTGTCTGTCTGTCTTTCTCTCCCCCCTGAGACAGAATGAACATATATGGAATAGTGAGTGGGTGGAAGTATTTGTCCTCCGGCTGAGTGTCCCCTCCATCCACACTCTAGAGGTGGGAGGCCTTCCTGGATCTGTATCTGGGGTTCCCTTCCACTTGCTGGCTCCTTCATGGACCTTTGTGCCTTGTGGTCCAGGTATCTGCCTTTAAGCCCCTGGCTCTTAACGTATTATTTTAGGACCTGGAGAGATGGTTCAGTGGCTGCTCTTCTAGGGGACCCAGGTTGGACTCCTCAGCACCTCATGGTGGCTCACAAGCACCTGCAACTCCAGTTCCAAGGGATCCAACACCCTCTTTCTGGCCCCACATATGTGGTGCATAGACATACATATAGGTACAATGCCCATATGCATAAAAACAAGGTAAAAATAAATTTAAAGAAACTAGAATATTTTTATTTAGGTACATGTGTGTAGTGTTCCCACACCACTGCATATTTTTGGAGATCAGAGGATGATGCCCAGGAGTTAGTTCTCTCCTTCCACCGTGTGGGACCTGGGGATGGAACCCAGGTCATCAGGCTTGGGAGCAGGTGTCTTTAACCACTGAGCAACCTGGCCTGCCCCAAAGCTCTTCATTTTTTTCCGGCCCCCTGATTTAGTTGTTTGCCAGTGATCTTTCCCCACTCAAACGAGGACCCCACAGGGCCCTGGTGGGACTGTACCACTCTTCTTGGTTACATTTTAGGTACTGGGTTCTAGGCCAGACCACACTCAGCCAACATCGTTTTCAAAGCTGTAAGAAGCGAGTGTGAAAGGTGTGTAGAGATTCTAAAGGTCCAACTGACCTCATAGCAGAGCTTGCCCTAGGCAGGGCATCCTTCTTGACTTAAACACATCTGGGACAGAGAACTCACTATCTCACAAAATGGTTTTCATTCTGTTTTTAAAAAGGATGTCTCAGTGGGACATCCGTGTTTTCCCCAACAGTGGTGGCTGTCTGGACCTCCATCACCCTGATAGTCTCTGCAAAGGAAGTCTGGGCTCCGCCTTATCCCATCTCTTGGTGACAGGCCCCAGCCCAGTGCCAGTCCTTTCTGGATCATGTGCCTCTATGTGTACACTAAGGACATCGACCTAGCCTAAGGGATCCTGAAAATCGGCAAATAGAAGGAAACTAATGGTTGGGATAGCTTCATGGTAGAGTGCTTGCTTAGTGTGTGTTGGCCCTGGGTTGAGCCTAGCACCCAGGAAGGAAAAAAGTCACGTGTTGGCAAACCTAATTTTGAAGCGCTGGGAATGGACCCCAGGGCCCTTTGCACATTGGTCAAGGACTCTACCATTGAGTCACACCTTCAGTCTGTCAACCTTTAAAAAAAAAAAGCTGAATAAATAAATAAATAAATGAACACCACCCTCTAAAACTACTCTTCGGCTCCCGGTGGATACACTGGGTTTTGGAGTCTGTATCAGCGTCGTGAGTGATTTTCCCCGGTCCTGAACCAGCCTTGCTTTGTGCTCCATGAAGCACGGTGGTTTTCCTTCACTGAGCTACACTCATCCAGGCTGTGGGCTCTGAGGGGCTGGGCCCTGCCAGAGCCGGAACAGTGCTGGGAATCTAGAGCATGCGGCCTTTTGTCCTGGCCTGGGAGGCCCAGTGTTCTTTGAGGGGGTCACGCTCGCCTGAGGTATGCTCTCAAGGTGTGTCCTGAACCAAAACAACAAGATAAGGCCTCAGAGGTCGGGCCCATCGTGGTTATTGTTCTCATACCAGCCTTCTGTCTTGAAGCAGACAGACACCTTCCTGCCTGCAGCTCCTCGGCCTTTGCAGCCGAAAGGACAAGGAAAATGGAGATCTGAGCCACAAACCGCTGCTGGAGACATCAGGCTTTACCCAGTGCCTACCCAGGATGGACGAAAGAGTCAAGGAGAGCTGGAGTTTCCCACAATGCCCCTTTCCTCACCGAGTTTCTCTGGGCATCAACCCAGGTCCTTTTCATTTTAATTAACGAGGTGAACCAGTCTCTAGCTTTCAAAGGAATCTGAGGAAAGCTTCATGCCAAGTCTCAAGCGAATCCCTGTGACACTCAGGAACACGGGCCCAGCTCTTGTGTAGGTTAAGGAACTCCGAGAATAGATTATAGGGAAACAGTCTACCTTTCTTTACAAGGCCTTGTTTTACATCCCTGAAATCTCAGCTGCAGCTATTACAATGAGGTCCTGTTGTGGAAAGAGCTGACCTCTTATCACCACTTAAAATCTAATTAATCCATATTGAAGCACAAAGATTTCCATTGTACGTTAGGGTGAGGGGTCACAGAGACCTCTTTGTTCATCTTTAGACTTATACTTGTCAAGCGTTGGGGATAGAATTTTACCAAGCAAATTGGAAGGGAACAGATCAAATCCTTATCAGAAAGACTAACTCATAGCTTTTAACAGAGTCCTTTACCCTTTACATGAAACACTATATTCAAGAGGAACAAACACGTATTTCAGAGTGCCCAGAGAGTTAACGGGCAAAGCTTATATTCCCAGTGGCATAGAATCAGGGCCATCACACCACTGTCAACCAGACAGGGCAGCAGATCCTATAGAGTAGCTGAGTTACGACGTCTGTCCCAATGGCTTTCGTCCTCAGAACGGCCATGCAGTCTGTAGGGCTTTCGCTCTCATTACTAGGATGGGTTCTGGCCATTATTACAACCTATCTGCCCCACTGGAAGACCCTCAACCTGGAACTGAACGAGATGGAGAACTGGACCATGGGGCTCTGGACATCCTGCGTCATCCAGGAGGAAGTGGGAAGGCAGTGCAAGGCCTTTGACTCCTTCCTGGCTCTGCCAGCCGAACTCCAGAGCTCCAGGATCTTGATGTCTCTGTCGAATGGGCTGGGGCTGCTGGGGCTGCTGGCCTCTGGCTGTGGCCTGGACTGCTCGAGGCTTGGAGAGACACAGAAGGGTCTGAAGAGGAGACTGCTCATCCTGGGAGGGCTCCTGCTCTGGACTTCGGGCGTGATGGTCCTGGTTCCTGTCTCCTGGGTGGCCCACATGACGGTTCAGGAGTTCTGGGATGAGACTATGCCTGAGATTGTGCCCAGGTGGGAGTTTGGGGAGGCCCTCTTCCTGGGCTGGTTTGCTGGCTTCTGCCTTGTGCTAGGGGGGTGTCTGCTGCACTGTGCAGCCTGCTCAAGCCCAGCTCCTCCAGCCTTGGGCCACTATGCAGTGGCAGGATTTCGAGACCATGGTTCATACCTGGAAAACGGAACTGCACAGCCTGAAGTGTAAGCTACCAACAGGGCACAGTCATGTCCTTCAGCTGCTGACTGAAAGGTCTCTGTTATGTAACTAAATTGTGCTGCTCACTTTTTTTTTTTAATTCAATAACTGTTTTTTTCTTTTTGGGCTATACAAGAGGTTTGCCTCTCAAACCGGAAGGATGAAAGGAAGTCTATAAGGCAATGATGATGACATTATGTAGCTATGTGTGGAAAAAACGTCATTGATTTGGTTATTTAATCCAGTGTGTGCTGGGAGTTGTCCAGTACAGTCAGTCCAGTGCTCTGACGTATTCACTTTGTGGGAAAGCTGTGTCGCTGTTTGTAGCGGGAAAGAATTACTTTCCACTTCCCAAAGAAACTAACAGTCTGCACTCTTTCAAGCATTAGGAGAGCCACAGGCTAAAGCCAGTGGCCAAATGTCATCCAGTGTTTCTGCTCCTGCTTAGATGTTCCCAGGAAACTGCTGAACTCTCCCAGGACTTTAGGAAGCTGGATGTGCCTGGATGTTCTGGATGAACGACCAGAACATTGTGGGCCTCTGCGATTTTTAAGTGGTAGCCAATCTCTGCCCTCATCTCTCTACTCAAAAGCTTCAAGTTTAAAAAGAAAAATAAAAAATCCCAGGGGAATTGTTTTCTTGTTATTTAGAGTATCAGTTCATTTGTCAGAAGGAAAACTTCTGTGTTCAGTGAAAAAATGACCAACGTGGGGATAGACCGTGGAGTGGGGAGCAACGATGTTGATTTTGACCCAAAGGCCCTCTTGCTTGTTTTTCCTACAGCCTAGGAAGCTATTTTCAGCAAAGAAGCAAAAGGAAAAAAAAAAAAAGAAAGAAAAAAGAAAAATTCCCCCAAATTCACATTCTCAAAGCTCGACAACTATTTATGGCTTATGCACGTGAGTGGGCTCAACACAATGGCATGCAGATAAGTGAGACCCTACACTCAGTTCAGTATTGTTTCGTGTGCTCTGCAATATGTGCAGCCAAAGAGACTTTTCAAAACAGGCCTGACTTCAAGTCTAGAGGGATTCCTGATAAGATTGATTTATTTGGTTAAGAAATACTTCTCTCTGAACCTCTTTTTCTTTTTTTGCAAAGATGGTAACACCCAGTATTATCATACCACACGCACTGAAACCTGAAACTCTTTAACAGATGAAAATCTGACATGTGTAATTAGCGCGGCACAAAGCAGGAGGAGTTGAACCCAAACCTTCAATTATACATTTTTTACATTCAGACTTAATTCTCTGACTTGTTAGGAGCCTCGGGAATGTGAAAGCCAGGTAAAGCTTCACAAAGGAAGGATTAGCACAACTTGACCTCAGGGGTTCCCTGACAAAGTGCTCTGGAACAAACTTCAGTCCACAGGACACAAACACGGCCCCGGGCCACACCTTAGCGTTACTGGTTCATAGCAGCGTTTCCCTGTCCTCTCCTGAAACCTTTTCAACATGGAATCAAACAATGGTAAACCTGGCAGGCGGCCTCCTAGACACACAATGCAAAAGTATGTCTGAGCTCTGCAAGTGAGAAGTGTCACACTTTACTGCAAGCTCGGGGCAGGAGTCGGGCTGGCCCCGGGCTCACAAGACGTTCTCATGGGCTTAGATTTCCGGACGGCTGCGCAGTGTGCTGCGCTTCTGCTATCCCTGCTGGGATGGGTTTTGGCCTGCCTTACAAACTACTTGCCCCACTGGAAGACCCTCAACCTGGAACTGAACGAGATGGAGAACTGGACCATGGGGCTCTGGACATCCTGCGTCATCCAGGAGGAAGTGGGAAGGCAGTGCAAGGCCTTTGACTCCTTCCTGGCTTTGCCAGCCGAACTCCAGAGCTCCAGGATCTTGATGTCTCTGTCGAATGGGCTGGGGCTGCTGGGGCTGCTGGCCTCTGGCTGTGGCCTGGACTGCTCGAGGCTTGGAGAGACACAGAAGGGTCTGAAGAGGAGACTGCTCATCCTGGGAGGGCTCCTGCTCTGGACTTCGGGCGTGATGGTCCTGGTTCCTGTCTCCTGGGTGGCCCACATGACGGTTCAGGAGTTCTGGGATGAGACCATGCCTGAGATTGTGCCCAGGTGGGAGTTTGGGGAGGCCCTCTTCCTGGGCTGGTTTGCTGGTTTCTGCCTTGTGCTAGGGGGGTGTCTGCTGCACTGTGCAGCCTGCTCAAGCCCAGCTCCTCCAGCCTCGGGCCACTATGCAGTGGCAGGATTACCAGACTGTCAGCAACTGGAGCTGAAACACGCCAACCCAGAAATCTAAGCCCGAGGGACCAGTGGCTTCTCCACAGCAGGCGCTTGCTCCAGCTGGACTTGGTAGGCTCTCCTGCTATAACCACCCCCACTCCCTGTGATTTTGATTTTCTGAAATGCATTACTTCCTTTCTGTGACTATTAACTTCTTCCAATACCATTTCTTTCTACCACTGAGTAAAGCATTTCTGTTTTCTCTTTGGAGGCCAAATGAATCAGGACCTATTGATGTAATCAGTCATTAATGAGCTTGAGCGCTTCATCAACCTTTAAAATAGGCTGTGACTGTACACACACAGGGAACAGGAAATAAAGCATTCTATGAGCACGTCTGTAACTCTGACAGGATCATTCACGTGGAGAGGAGCCATGTGGGAAACACATGTGATGGCTGATCATGTACTTTCAGGTGTCTAAGATAACTTACGTAACTAAGGTTTCAGTGGATACTTAAACAACAACACAAAACACCTGCTTGGTCTTTAAGGGACTCAACGGGACACCCCCTTTTCAGAGACCCCAGTGTCTCTAGAGAGTCCTTCCCACATTACAAACACCCATGCTTGCCTCTGGGCAGTCACCTTGGGTCCTGGGAATTCAGGTAGAATCTGCCACACAAAAGTGCACCTGCCTCTGTGCCCTGTGCTTCGGGGTGGGATGTCCTGCCTGCTTTGGCTCTGTGGCAGAGGACAGGACTGGTGTGTGTGGGCACAGTGCCCTCTGGGAGGGCTGCCTCCTTTTGAAGAACTCTGCCAGCTCAGGCAGTTTAACTGGGGACCACATACTCGTCAGTCCCTGTTTTCCTTGGGAAATGAAAATACCCCATCTCATTTATCCCTGATGTACACAGTCTAAACAAGAACTATTCATGACAAACTTCTGGCTTGAGGAATTCTTCATGGAACATTTTATATTTGCTTGGTACATGGTTCAAGTAGATTCTTGTATTTGTGCCAATCAGGGAAATTAACCGAACAATAAGAAACATTAAAATACAGTATTTGGAAATAGGTATCTTTGTTTAAAAAAAAAAATCATTGAACTTATTTTCCATCCAGAAACACATGGAAAATAAGTGCCGCCACGCAAGGTCATCTGTGCGATGTATTTGCACATTTTTACAAACAGCAGAAGTGAAAACAGAAACATATTCAGAATTGAACCTGATGAAATATTTAGTTCAGTCCTGAGATTCTCATATTTAATATAACATATATTCATAGCAAAAATTTTAAATGTATTTAATTTGTATGCTACGGAGACTCAGTTAAACTTTGTTCATTTGGCAAGTAATACCCTTCTTGTGCCTGTAACACTTGGGAGTCTGATCTATAAAACTGTAATAACATACTGATAATCCAAATGTGAGAGCTAAATAGTAAATCCTTTTTCTCCTGTGCAGAATAAATTCTACCTTTAAAAATACTTTAATAATATTAAAATTTTTATGTGTCCCTATGGTTTTATGATGGAGTTAGTAAGATGCTTTTGGAGTCATGGGTTAATACAAATGTGTCAGCCTACAGAAAGCTGCCTGTACATACCACTATTGCTGACTTTCAGAGAGTGGGCAAAGGCTTCAGCTAGAATGAGTTTCTCTCTCATGTCCGAAATGAGCATGTTTTGTAAAAATAAAATCAAAGTCCCCCAGTCACAATTGTGAACTACCAGCCTGAGACACACTTTATTCTTTAATACTCATCTGAGACTTTTTGTATTACAAAAAGTTAGCAATAAATCTGATGAAGATCATAAAGCTGTAAATACTCCAATATAGCCTCTTGTAAGCCCAACATTTAAGATGGCCAGAACCAAACTATATATTAAACAGAACATAAATAAGACCGTAAATAAATAAATGAAAATAAAATCGTACGGTACAACTACACAAAGTTCTATGAACATTTTCATGGGTCAAACTATGATGCTGAAGACAGCTGACCTTTATTGAGTGCTATATTAAATAAAACCCTGCTGTTCACATTTGACCTTGACAAGGATGGATGGCACTCCAGCTTCCTCCAGTCACCTACAGGGCAGACTGGGCAGTCTGGAAGACTGGGCTCCGTCTGCCACTAGGCTGTTTTTTGTTCCAAGTAGTGCACGTCCAGTTACATCCTCTAAGAACTTGGGTATAAGCTGTGGAACATTTAGGGGGAAAACGGTTGAAGTTTCAGGTGCAGTAACTTGATAATTGACGTTCTGGCTAAGTGTAAATTTTGATTCTGATAGAATGAACTTTCTAAAATATGCATAGATTCAGGAAGATAACAATTCTTACTAATGGGGATTCCAGCAGAACATAACTCTTTTTTAAGCAGATTTTTTTCTTGCCTAACTTTCTTTTTTTTTAAAATTCCTATAAAATTACTTTGCATTAAAAAATAAAAATAATTTAGCTTGCTATATAAGATGGCTCACCAAAACACGGCTTCTTCCAGTATGACAAACTAAGTAAGTATGGTTTCAATTACCTAAAAACTATGTATTTTAACACTTTTATGCTGGCAAAGCTATGCTGATCCTTTCTTTCTTCCTTTCTTTCTTTTAAAGAAGTGCCCGGGCCTGGTAAGTTAAAACCTAACCCGGAGAACAGGGCACTCCGACCAGTTTCTATCTCAAGCTTGCTCCCCCAGAATATGTATTTGTAAATGATGCAGTCCACGCTGCGGGTCCCCTCAGGCCTACCCTTTGTTTCTGCTTCCGACTGCTTTCTATGCGTCACTGATAGAGTCCCCTAAAGATGACAGCTGAGGAATAAGGTCGAGTAAGATTGGTCTCATTAAGATGTGCCCTGACCTCCGCTCTCACCCGATGAATATGGGTGTGTCCTCTCTGCACCTCAGGAACTCCCGTTTGGGCCTTCCCTATGAGTGTGCCCCCTCTGCACTGTCAACAGAGCCCAGGGCCACCACATGCTTCTCCTTGGCTTTGTCTTTATCCCTAGGACAAAACCTGGTGTAGGCCAGAGACGGACAAAACCCCGCAGGTTCAGATAGAGTTAGAACTAGCGGCCACTCAAGCAGGAGGTGAGTTTCCTGAGTGTGGTTTTTGGGAGCTGGGGGCCCCTCCTTTTCTCTCTACAGTAGGAATATACCTTTGTTTTTCATATTCTTGTACTCAGCACTTCATACTTTGGTTTTCTTTGGACAAGTTTAGGAGAGCAGAAAGAACTGTCTTGCAGAAACAAGGGGGCCAGACACAGCCGTCGGGAGGGACGGGGTGGACGCAGAGCGACGCTTGCTCGCGTGCACTTTCGACGGAAAGTGTGGCTCTCTAGCTCAGGAGTATGATGTAGTACCAGCGCCACAGCTCCTGGATGGCTGCTCCTGCAGTTGGCTCAGCAGGCCGACCCCGGGCACCCGCCGCCTCTGTTCCGCTCTGCACAGTGAAACCCAAGGGGTAACACATACACACTGTACAACACGTGTGGACCAGGTTACCCCGTTTTCATTCATTCTGTGAATGTTTTGTCCTTCTCAAAGCATGTAAGAGTTACATTCAAAGTACTTTACAAATTAACCTGATGAGATCGGTGTGAAATGAAAGTTCTTCAAGAGTTGACAGTTGTGTTACAGGAAACAAAAGCCCCGCCCCCCCGACAAAAAATAGAAAAGAACAAAAACAGTAAAGGTTCAGTCTTGGACCCTCCCTCGGACGGTGCGCAGGTGAGAAGCCACGGTAAGCCACGAGGTCACACGTCGTCAGCTGGCAGGGATGGGATGCTGATCTTCGCTCGTGTGAAGTAGGCAATCTTCTCCCTAGAGGGAGAGAGGGAGGGAGAGCACCTCTCAGTGTGACCCGGAAATTCTGAGAGCCCCAAGGCTGTCTCCACGATTCCAGAAACTGCACTTAAAATCACAGGAGCCTTCATTTTTAATGTTTTCTTTTTAGAGCCACTTTTAGTGTGTGTGTGTGTGTGTGTGTGTGTGTGTGTGTGTGTGTGTGCGCGCGCGCGCGCGCATGCACATGCCACAGTGTTGGTGGGAGGTCAGAGAACAATTCCTATTACATTGATTTATGTGTGCATGCTCACGCACGCACGCACGCACCACAGCACATGTGTAAAGGTTGGAGTTGGTTCTCTTCTATTACGTAGGTCCTAGGGATTAAACTCAGGTTGCCTGCCCTGGGGACAGGTGTCCTTATTCGCCAGGCCACCTTGCCAGCTCTTCACCTCAGTTTTTGAGACAGTCTCCTAGTGAACTTGGACCTTGCTGAGTTGGCGAGATCGGCTAGCCAGCAAGGTCCAGAAATCCTCCTGTCTCGGCTCCCTCAGCACTGCGGTTTACAGGTCATCTAGCTTTCGTAGGCGGGTCATGGGGGGACTGATCTCAGGCCTCCAAGCCTGAATAGCAAGTATGACTCACTGAGCCATCTTCCCAGCCCCTCTGACTATCTCAGGAGGAAAACCACCCCATGAGCCAAAGGGAGACCTACCAGGATGGGGCGGAATGGCATTCATGTGAGGAGACGGATGGGAAAAATCAGATTTCAGGACTGTACAGTGGCCACCGATGACAACAGCTTATCATACACATAGCATGCTACCAATCATGTACATGAGGGTGTGTTCCACACTGAGCTGTACTTGGCAGCTAAGAGGTAGGACTGAGCTCCCTCCTCCAACACACAAGACACAGGGCAGAAGGAAAGACGAAAGCCAGAGTGAGAAGCAGGACCCTGGACAGTTATTTCATGATACAGCTTCCTTTAAGACTGGCTGGTTCCCTAAAAGATGAGGAAAGATGTTAAAAGGCCAGAGACTGTCGTCATGATGGGTGATCACAAGGCGCTGCTGCTGTGGGATGGTCTGTATGTCAAGTGTGTTGCTAATTAGTCAATAAATAAATCACTGATTGGCCAGTGGCCAGGCAGGAAGTATAGGCGGGACAAGGAGGAGAATAAACCTGGGAAGTGGAAGGCTGAGTCAGAGAGACACTGCCAGCCGCCACAATGACAAGCCGCATGTGAAGATGCCGGTAAGCCACGAGCCATGTGGCAAGGTATAGATTAATAGAAATGGATTAATTTAAGCTGTAAGAACAGTTAGCAAGAAGCCTGCCATGGCCATACAGTTTATAACCAATATAAGTCTCTGTGTTTACTTGGTTGGGTCTGAGCGGCTGTGGGACTGGCAGGTGAGAGAGATTTGTCCTGACTGTGGGCCAGGCAGGAAAACTCTAGCTACACGCTGCTGAAACCCACAGGGATTTAACTACATGGTCAGTTACAGCGCCTGCCTCAGAGTCACAAGGAATCCCTGCTGACTTGCCTGAGCACCACGATGCCCAGGGACTCTGGGCTCCTGGCTCCACATGGAACAAGACGCTGTGGTAGGGCTGTGCCTGTGCCCACCCGCTGACACTCCTGACCCTCACCACCCAGGCAGCAAGGGGGCACATTCAGCTCTCACAGGTGTTGCGCAGTCCCACATGGTGTGTCTGATCTCACTCCATCATGCTCCTTCTCCTCACTTGCCTGTGATATCAATGGGTTGGTTTCTCACCCCCACCCTGAGAGAGGGTCTCATCATGTAGCCCCGGCTGCCCCAGACCTCACTACGTAGACCAGCTGCCCTTGAACTTACAGAGATCTGCCTGCCTCTGCCTTTCTCCTGCTGGGATAAGAGGCGTGCGCCATGCGACCAGGACAGGTGGGTTTCTTACGGGGAACAGGAGTGTTTATGCATTCTTCACATTAACAACTGGAAGTTTACGGTTTCCACCGCTGACAACGTTGCTTTCTGTGGAAGACTGCAGCATGCTGGGCAGGAAGGGCTCCTGCCACCCACGCCGTAGCTAAAGAACCAAGCAGTAGCACTTCCTGCAGGTAGCCACAGTGGCCGTCTAGCACAGTGGTCAGGGAAACCCTTACATGAGGGCCTTCGGCACCTCAGCTTCTTGTCCCTGCTCTGAAACCTCACTTGCCTGATCCCAGCACCCACCCTTCAAAGCTCTCCCCGTTCACCAGGAGCCCCTCCTCTCCCGCTCCCTAACTGCCTCTCTCCCCATTTCTCTCCACAACCTAAAAGCTAGCTAGCTTTCTCTCTTTTTTTACATTTATTTATTTGTGCGTGTGTGTATGTGCGTGTGTGCGCATGTATATGTGTGTGCTTGCATGTGTGAGAGCCTGTGTACACGTGTGTGTGTGTGGTGTGTGTATGTGTGTGTGTGTGTGTGTGTGTGTGTGTGTGTGTGTGTGTGTTTGAATGTGAGAGGGAGGAGGAGAAGGAGAGGGAAGGGGAGGGAAGAGTCTGTGTATGGGTGACGTGTGAGGAGGTCAGGGGACAGCTCACAGGAATTGGATTTCTCCTTCCACACGTGGGTTCTAGGCACTGAACTCAGGTGGGCAGGCGTGGCTCCAAGCACCTCTGACCACTGAACCATCTTGCTGGCCCAAGCCGAGACGCTCTCTAAGGACTTCTCTACACAAAACCTAAGCCCAAACTAAGACGAACATAAACCAACAAAGAAAAACTTTCCCTGTGATTTTCCTATCACTTGACCAACGGATACGGTCTCTGAGGCCCCGGTGTCACACTATCTGGGGACATTTGAACTCTTTTCTGTTTTGGTTCAGTGTCCATCTGTCTGTCCTTTCCAGGCCTTCAGCTCCAGGACCACACCGGTGCCTCTCCCGGTCACCTTCCCCCACTTGCTTGGGTGCGTTGCCCGTTTCCACCGTGGGGGCCACCACACTGAACCTGCAGGCCCCTCTTTTTCTCTCTGTGTGACCCTTTACCCCCACTTTAAGAGTTTGATTTCTGACCATCCACTGGATGGAGTTACCTGGGCTGTACTAGGGCATGGTTAGCCCAGGCTATGCGGACGGACGCAGGATGCAGGAAGTCCTCACTTGAACCTCCTCCTCCCCTCTGCCCTCTGCCTCAGTCTCGCTCTCCTCTGTGCCGACAATACCTGCCCCCCCAGGCTCCCTCAGAACCCAAAGCCACAGCTGAAATCCTTCCGTGTGGCACTCAGGCCCTGTGGAGTCTGAGTCCCACTCTACCTGACGAGCTCGCCTGGGGCAGCTCTGCTACACATTGTGAAGCTGGGGGGCTGTGCCTGACCCCCCAGGCTGGGTGGCTCTGTCTGTGCTGCTCCTCACAGCCGCCAAGCTACTGCCTGAAGGTCTGACGGGATCCTGCCACCATGGACTCCAGTGATGCCTTCCTTTGAGCGGACCTGTTAGCGCCTGTATACCTGGCCTCCACAGACTGAAATTCCTCCTATGTGCTCTCATGATCCGTATTTATCCACACGACACTGGACATTATGGAACTCTGTCCTTCCAGACTGGAGGTCCTCTGGAGGAGCAGGAAGCGTGTGTTCTCTGGCTGTACTGTGGGGATCAGCACAGTACAAGGTGTGTCTGTGTGTGGAGGGGGGGGAGAATGGGACCCAAGGAATGTCCAGAAAATGAGTGGACAAAGTCCCCCAAAGATGGATGACTTTTGTGTTCTTTCTATATCCTGGGCAAAGCTTTCTCAATGAGATGCATACATGATGATGAGAGGTTCTGGGTTCTTGGGGAGACCGGCTCAATGGGCGTCACCTCAGGATGGAGCGCATGTGCGACTATACTCACGCCAGGGACAGACACAGTGGCCACTCTCCCTTAGTCCTGAGGGGAACAGCTGTGCAGTCACACCCCGTGAGGGCAACCCCACAAGCTGGCCCCACGAAGCCGCTTACCTGAAGGACTGCACCTGCCGGGGGACCTTCCGGCTCTGCTCCCGCAGACGGCACACGTCCTTGGAGACCTGCCTCATCAGCTTCTCGGCGTTCAGGTCTTGCTTCTGCTCCTCCTTTGTCTGCTCAGCCTGGCAAAGGAGGTACAAATCGGGCAACAGGGAAGAGTCTGCATTAGAAACCTGGAGACGTGCTGCAAGGCTGGGAAGCCAGGCCGCGCAGCCAAGCATGTCTTTTGTCGGGCAGTGGGGACAACACCCACATGCTCAGCGGATGCCGAGGGGAGGAGGCGCTGCCTAATCCAGAGGTGAGTTATTTTAATCACGTTTAAAATGTTTACATCTGGAAAACCCGAGAACTCTCAAAAACCAAACAATAAAAAACCCAAACAACAAACCCATAAAACTGAAAACCTACCAGCCTCTCTCTAAGAAATTGAACTGGTAACATTTTGGCAAATATGCTTGCCAACTCTTTCCTGCCTCTCAGCCCCCTCTGCCCATGTTAGCCAGTTAATGAGCTTCACTAAAGGGCATCCGACCTACTGGGCAATGGCACGTGTACGTGTAGAGCACAGAGACCCTCACACAGGAACACACGTGTAACCTGCCACAGGTGAAGGGACAGAGGGAACACCATCAGTGCCCACGTCCCCTTAGTCCCCTTCCGGCACTGAGTTCTCACTGTGATACTTTGTAATATATATATAATATCTATATATATATATATTACATATATATAAAAATACAAACAGGCCAATAACATTGCTCACTAATGGCTGCTTCTGCATTGCATTCCTCTGCTCACCGAATCAGCAAATACATGTGGTCGCCTTCAGTAGGGATTGTCTATGTTAGTGATGAAGATGGCAGACCCTGCGGCTGATTGTCTGACTTCAAACTCCCTCTGGAGCACTTCCTGGCTATGAGTCTGAGTGAGGGATGTGGCAGCCCTTGGGCCTTTGTTTCTTTGGGCGTAAGTACTTCAATGGGCTAATAGACGCCAATCACTCGGAGTCCGAGTCAACACATCATTAAGCCTACTAACTACCTCAGTGCTTTGTCATTCCCGGTACATTCCTGTGGACTATGCACTCTCTCAGAAGGGAGAGTTGTGAGCAAAACAGATCACGTTTAATGAATGAGAAAACAATAGGAAAGACTAGAGAGTGTAATAATTGGAGAAATGAAAAGAATGTTAATGTTTTTATGGGGTAACAAGTTTTTTTTTCAACTTAATATTAAAAACTATTTTTAAGAGCTAGGCACAGTAGCTTGGAAGGCTGACTAGGAAGACTGTAAATTTGGGACAGCCTGAGCTACATAGAGAGCTGCAGAAAAGCTTGGAGTATATACAGAGACTGTGTCTCAAAAACAAACCAACTGAATTAATGAATAACTAAATAAAAATAAGAAGGCAGACAAGGTAGCTCTGTCTATAATTCAAGTACTCTGAAGGTTGCCATCACTTTAGGCTAGCCTGAGCTATACATTAAGCTCAAGATTCCCCCACCCCATCAATAAATAACAACCAGTAATAATACCCACACCAATAAAAAGAAAAACAAGGGAGAAAAACCCAGAAAGAAAAAAAAAAGTTAGGGTGCTTTTAGTTGGTAACAAAACTGAGCAGAAGGGCTCCCCATAAAGCCCTACTCCAGCATGGCCGATCACACACATGCCTCTACTCCTGGCTTTTTACAGGTGTGCTGGGGATCCAAGGTCAGGGAGTCATGTTTGACTGACAAGCATTAGAGTCACGGAGTCGCCTCCGCCCGACACTCGCTTTCTCTTTTGAGTCTGCATGTATGGCTTTGGACCAAACACAGTGGAGTATATAGCTGAAAATATGACTGTGGTTCAGTGAGAGATGAGCAGGAACTAGATGACTGTACATGAGAGATGAGCAGTAACTAGATGACTGTACATGAGAGATGAGCAGTAACTAGATGACTGTACATGAGAGATGAGCAGGAACTAGATGACTGTACATGAGAGATGAGCAGGAACTAGATGACTGTACATGAGAGATGAGCAGGAACTAGATGACTGTACATGAGAGATGAGCAGTAACTAGATGACTGTACATGAGAGATGAGCAGGAACTAGATGACTGTACATGAGAGATGAGCAGGAACTAGATGACTGTACAGTGAGATGAGCAGGAACTAGATGACTGTACATGAGAGATGAGCGGGAACTAGATGACTGTACAGTGAGATGAGCAGTAACTAGATGACTGTGTACATGAGAGATGAGCAGGAACTAGATGACTGTACAGTGAGATGAGCAGGAACTAGATGACTGTACATGAGAGATGAGCAGGAACTAGATGACTGTGTACATGAGAGATGAGCAGGAACTAGATGACTGTACATGAGAGATGAGCAGGAACTAGATGACTGTGTACATGAGAGATGAGCAGGAACTAGATGACTGTACATGAGAGATGAGCAGTAACTAGATGACTGTACATGAGAGATGAGCAGGAACTAGATGACTGTACATGAGAGATGAGCAGGAACTAGATGACTGTTCATGAGAGATGAGCAGGAACTAGTAACAGTACAACAGTCATTACAATTCCTGCAGCTACCAGTCCCTCATCTCTGCAGTTTTCTATTTAACATTTCTCGTTTGCTAATGGTAACTGAGACCATGTACGTGACTGTGGACCGGGGAAACTATGGTGTGTGGATTGGATTTGGCTTTCTTTTCTTTAAAGCTGCTTTAAGAGGATGGCTTCCACGCTGTCCTTCCAGGGTAACTTCCTTCCCCGTCTCCCCAGGGCCTGGGGAGTGGAGCTGATCTAGCAGCGCCTGGGGGAGCTGCCTGGACTGTGACGGGCTCCCTCTCCTTTCACACCAAGCGACAGACACACTGCCCTGTGCACGCGCAGGGACTGCTCACTCAGCTTCTTGCCGTCTTTTGGTCCATCTCCGGACTACCAGTCCCCTTCCCCTCCTCAGGGAGTCGCCTCAAGGCCTTGGCCTGCCTCGCCCTTCCTTCCTCAACAGCCAATATGGGACTTGCTTGCTTTCTGCCTCCCCCAGAGCACCAGGGACTTTCAAGGGGAACAAGAGCTAACAAAATATCTTTTGCAATTTTTTTCAGTGTAGCCTAACTTTCAAAAGTGTTAGATATGTATCACTTGAAGTTAAAAACAAAACAAAAAACCCCCAAATCCTCCAGCACTTCGGCATGTTGACAGGGAAACATTCCGAGGAAGATAAGACAGGCTTCTTCGGAAGAACAGAGTCCTCCCCACACCCTCCATGCCTTAGACTCCAGTGTACACGAGAGGGCCTGACCTGCAGAAAGGTCCAGTGACTCACTCACAGCCATGGTAAGCCTGACTGGACAAGGGACGCAGCTGTCTAATTTACAGCCCCTGCTTCCCACTCTGCCTCCTCAGGAGGAGTACAGTCTGAGGCACCGACATTTGGTTTTATTGAAAGCTATAAAAGAGACTTCCCACTGCCAACATGGCGGCTTAGGGAGGACGACCCGGGAGCCTACGGGAGGCCGATCCAGGGTCTGCTGCTGCTGGCTTCAGCCGCTGCTTCTCCAGGAGGCATATATTTTTGTGGCGATTGGCAGGGTCGTCGTTAGGTACTTTATGATGGCCTGACAAAAATCACAGATCCCCGGCACTGCAGGGAAATGGTGGAAAGAAAAGAGCTCTGTGTGTGTGTGTGTGTGTGTGTGTGTGTGTGTGTGTGTGTGTGTGTACATGTGTGTGTGTGTACAGGCTGCTGTGCCCATGTGCACACTGCCCGGTGAAGTGAAAGGGCTGTGTGTGTGTGTGTGTGTGTGTGTGTGTGTGTGTGTGTGTGTGTGTATACAGGCTGCTGTGCCCATGAGCACACTGCCCAGTGGGTGTGAAGGTGAAGAAGCAGCAGCAGATGTCCCAGAGGTGAGTGCACACTTCTGCAGCTATAACGAAAGGGTCACAGCTGAACAGTCTGGATTTTCAGAGCTGTTTACTTCCAAGTTCAGTTGTCGAGAAAAACAGTACACGATACAAATAGTTTATCTACCCACAGAGTTGGTAAAAATAAAGACGAGAACTCTCTGTGCTCAGGGACTCGCGTCGTTTTCAAAGCAGTATAAATGTGCCTTGTTTGGTGAGTCCCGAACTCGCTGTAACGCTGTCCCAAGGCAGAGGGGCCGACACTGACTGAGAGGGGAACGCTGGCCTCCAAACCTCATGTTGCAATCTAACTGCCCTTGAAACAACATTAAGGGGCGGGGCCTCTGAGGGGCCTCAGAGCACAGGACCTGCCCACATGCGGGCGGCCTTAGGGCCTTGGCATCTATTCCCACTTCTATCAGTGAAAATGTCTTTATCTTGGGCTCCACCACAATCACCAGAGACTCCCCCTCCTTCCCTCATTATCTTGGTTGCAAAAGGAAACCTAGCCCATCACAAAGTACAGCTTGGGATTCTGGTAAGATAATGGCATTTCCTCTCCATGCCAATGACTATAGCCACCATCAGACACCACAGGACTAGACACATGCTAGCCATTACTTAATAGTGAGACGAAGCCAGACGGTGGTGGCGCATGCCTTTAATCCCAGCACTCGGGAGGCAGAGGCAGGTGGATCTCTGTGAGTTCGAGGCCAGCCTGGGCTACAGAGTGAGTTCCAGGAAAGGCACCAAAGCTACACAGAGAAACCCTGTCTCGAAAAAAATAGTGAAATGACCACAGATTAGTGATGAGATAAAGTATCATTTTACTAAAGAGAATTCTAAGGTGTCAAGTTTCCAAAGCTGGAAGGGGAAGCCTGGCAGAGCACAGGAGACCTTGGCCATCACTCCTCTGACTTTCTTCCCCTATCGTAGGGTACAGAGCCCAAGGCCTCTCATGTGTTAGGCAAGTGTTCAACCCTGAGCTACAACTCATGTCTTGACTCTGGGGAATTCTCGTTTTATTGAGACCAGGTTTAATGTAGCCCAGGCTGGCCTTGAACTTGCTATGTAGCAGAGGACAGCCTTGGAACTTGTGGTCTTTCTGCCTCTATCTCCTTAGCGCTGGGATTACAGGTGTGCACCCTCAGGCCAGGGCCTCATTCACTCTACATCCCAGCACCCCTTGGAGTGTTTAAATCCAAACTGGAAAGGTATG